GTTCGCGCCGACGGTCCACTTCTTGGCCCGTGCTGTTGCGCGCACCAAGCGTCAGAAGCGACTTGGGTATCCGGAAGCGCAGAATCGCCGGCCGGTGGATCGTCTTGAGCATCTCGACCGTCGCGTCGTACCCGCGCCGCGCGGTATCCATGCCGTTGATGCTCACGAGCATGTGGCCGACGGCGACGCCGGCCTTGGCCGCCGCCGAGTCTTCGCGCGTGATGCGGCCGACGACCGGCGGCATGTCCTCGCCGAGGTCCGGACGCAGCGTCAGCCCCAAGGAGCCCTCGCCCCATGAGACCTGGTACTCCATGAGCTCTACGACGACTTGGGGAGATTGGCTGGCGTCAATATACTGTCGCCCACGGACTTCAAGATATCAAATGCTACAGGCACCCTCCGGATAACACCACGTGCCCGTTGAAACCGGTTCGGTCCCGTAGCCGGTTCAACGCTCCCGTACCGTCCATGTCCGCGGGGTCCGGCGCTTGTGGCCGCGGGGGCGCCATGGGCAGTATTCTACCAGGCGTGCGCTCAGCAGTCCTGGCGAGTATGGCGTGTAAGACAGGTAGCACGAACTCCAAATGCGGCAAAAGTAGTGATATTTACCGTATTTTACCGCAATTTTCCATCGCCGCCAAGTCGTGCACGAAGCAGTGCACAGGCCATTCCCAAGCAGCAGCACACGAAGCCGCTCTCCCCACTCCCATGAGGTACGCACCATTGTCGAGCATGTGGCAGGGTATGGGCGCTGCTCGCTGCTCGCGGCCCGGTCTCTTTGGAGAGGACCGGTTGACCGGCGGAACGTCAGTCCCATGAAACCTCTGAAACATGATATAATCCGGTTACACCACCGCCGCAAGAGACTCGAATTGAGTATGCGAGCGTTGGCCAATCAGCGCGCGGCTGTGCATTTTTATTGCGGAGCGGGAAACAGGACATTGAAACGTGTTTCTAACTACCTTGGTTTTGTATGCAGCGTCCGAGAAACACGCCGCGTGATTAATATTACGGCGCCATCCGGATAAACAGGGCGTGTGTAATCCGGACGCGTCTGGTCGACGGCAACAATGTTTTCCACACCCACCTCGAGTCGATCCGATGCGCGCATCCAGGTGCGTTGCACGGTACCGGTACCATCAATGGCCTAGCCCTAGATTGCTACCATATACTAGTAATATGAATACGAACGACCAATATATATTCATAGAGACGCGATCGCAGCAATATACAAAGAATATGCAAGCGATGTTGCCGGGGGTGGTGTTGCGAGCGGTGGGACCGGACACTGGAACCAGCTCCGCAACGAGCGTCGATCGCGCGGGTGTAATACCGTGTACCACACCGGGATTCCTCATACACTGTAATATATACAGTGTTGGCACGACGCGCTTTTGTGCTTTTGTGGTTTTGTGCATTTTCTGCCAGCTCAATCAGCCTTCGCGCCGTGCCCACGCATCTTCCAGAATATTTTTCCTGTACGTCCGTCGACACAGCCAACGGGTTGGATTCAATGACGCTCGACGTTGCTTGCGCTTGCAATCGACAGTGCTGTATCCGCCCGATATGAGTGGTAGAGGATCGTACTTGGCACCGACCTCTCGTGCTCGGTCTATGTCTAGACGCCGCTGATCAATGGTACAATGTACTTGAGTCCCCCAGCAACATAGTAGGACGTCCTCTGAACTCGAGTTCGTCGAGCGCCTTGTTGCTTGTGCCACTTCAAGTCCGCTGTTGGCATCGTTGCACGCCATCATTGCCATTTTTAACATATATATTTTAAGTTTAAAAGAGTTCTTGGACCTCGGCGTGGAGATACTCTTGCGGCTCGGGCGTCCGTAGCGACAGCGTTCGCGACATCGCCCCCGTCGCGAACGACATGACTTCGACAATGACCGTGTCGATCTCTACAAGCGGCGCCAGCGTATGATCCTGCGTTTAGAAAAGTGGTCAATTCGCGATCTGGTGCGTTCCATTACCGAATGAGTCAGGAGCTGCTCGATGTCGTCGTGCCGGTAGATCGCATAGAGGTTGGCAGCGCTGATGCGGCACTTGAAGCTGCCTACGCTTCCACGTCGCAATCTCCAGCACACGATATGAATCACTACCCGTCTTGTCGCGGCCAAGGCTGATATCGAGCGGCGGCGTGCCGCCTGGACGCGGCTTGATCTACGTCAACACGTGGGCCATCTACATACACATCGATCGACGACATACCAAGAGGCCGGTGGTGCCAAAGAGCTCTTGTAGCGCAAAGTACGAGTCGGTGCCGCTACCACATACCGCCCGTGCGTGAGCGTACTCGGATCACGTTTGAATAGTGCGACACCTGTGGGTGCGGCTGCAGCGCCGCATGATGCGGTCGGACGCCTCGAGGCACTGGTCCTTGGGCACAAACCTAGCAGGCAAAAGCGACAAGGTGTGCTCAGAGACTCGTGCAGTCGTAGTACTTTTGAACAATGCGCTTGACTGCGGCGACAAAGGCCTCTGTCCGGTGATCGCCCACAAACCGAACGCCTACGGCAAGGACTCCTCGTTTGCAGCCAAACAGGACTGCGAGATCGAACCGTTGAGCATAATGTCTTCGCGGACCGCGTCCCGGAAAGCCTGCACCGTGTCGACGTCGCACTGTGGCGACAGCGGCAGCCGACTCCGCAGAAGGTGCGACCCGAGCACATCGATAAAGTCCGCCTTGCGGCACGACGCAACGCGCTTCCGAACCGCTTGCACAAGCCGCGGATCCAAGATCGCGTCGTAGTCGTCGAGCGTGCTCTTGTTGTTCATCGCGAAACGTTCGATGGAAGAAACTTTTGACTTCCCCCCGCCCCCCAAACATATTTTTCGGCAAAATTGCATGGCCGTCTCTTGTGAGACAAATAGTTTGTAGATGTTGCGATTAAAACCCCTCAAATATGCTATCCTGCGTCCCGTCGTAGTCGGCGTCGTTGACGCGCAAGCCTTGGTCGCCGTCAAAGAGCGACGTGTCGTAGCGACTACTGAGTTGCGGCACGTATGGTGTCTCGAGCGTTTGACTTCGCAGTGCATCCCAGTCGAGGGATGCAAACCACGGGTGGCTCATAATGTCATGCGCCCCCGAGACACCCATGCCGAGGCGCTTGGTCGGGTCGCCGTGCAGCAGCTTCTCAACCAGGTCGCACACGGCCGGGCTTTCCGAGAGGAGGTCGGGGGGAAACTGCACCGCATTGGCCCCCGTGCGCACGAACGCAATGTTCTTGAAGAGACTCGCAATGTCGCCGTCCGGCGTCTCGAACGGTGTATACCCCAGTAGCATTTCGTAAATGAGCACACCAAAGGCCCCTATATACGACCGTATTATGCGAGTCGAGTTGTTGAGACAAGACGCTCGTACAATAGTCGACCGCAATGTCGTGGCCCGTATTGAGGACAAACTCGGGCGCGAGGTACTCTTGTGTGCCGCAGAGGGTGTAGCTGCGCGCGTTCACCTCGGTCGTGCCGTCGTCGTTGGTGACCGTGAACGGAATTTTCTTGGCAAAGCCCATGTCGACTATCTTGAGGTACCCCGTGGCACTATCCGAAGCATCCACATTCAAAACGATTTCTACCACACCCAAAAACCAAAAACCAAAACCAAAATGCAAGCTACCTCACGAGGAGATTCTCGGGCTTGAGATCGCGGTAGGCAATGTCGCGCTTGTGCAGATGCTCGAGGCCCATGTAGACGCACGCTGCGTAAAACATCATGTCTTCTTCGTCGAGGTCCCGGCCACAAATGTCCGTGTGGAGGACACTGAAGAGTTCGCCGCCCTGGACCAGTTCGAGAAGCATGTACAAAAAGTTAGCGTCCTAGTCATCATTGAACGTCAAAATGACCGCTTGAGAGATCGTGGGCAAGGACCTGGTACGTGGCGTAGAGCTGCACGACAAACGGATTGGGCGGCAGCTCCTTGAGGATCATGCGCTCGCGCATAATGTGTTCTTGCTGCTGACACTCGATCACATGCGCTTTCGAGACGCACTTGAGCGCGAGGAGATACTCTTCGGCTTCGTGAAAGGCTTGTACCATCGTGACGCGGCCAAACGAGCCTTCGCCCAGAACCCCAATCTACATGTCGTATAACGTAGGCACGGGCATACAATCCAAGCACATACGTGCACGAGGTCTTCGAGGTCGAGGTAGCTCAGTGGATGGCGATAAAAGAGGCCGCTCAAGTTGGCAATGTCGGCGATCGACTGTCGCCGCGTGACGATACCAAGCGAAATGTTGGCTTGGGAGAGCCGGAGGCACGTGACTTGGCCGACGCACGTCGCAGTCGACTTGTAGTCGCCGCCACTACCATTTCCAATTCACTTTCAGTCGAAACAAATGAGTGAAAAGAGGAATACGTGATGGCTTCGCCGCCAAACGAATCTTTGACGTTGAGCTCGAGCGGGATGTTTTCGTCCTCAAAATCCTGAATATTGACTTGGCCGTCGCGGATGATGTAAAAGTACTCGGCCGGCATTTCGGGTTGAAAGATGATGTCCCCATCGTCGTACTCGACGATCTCAATCATGCTCGTGATGCTGTCGAGCTCGATGTCGCTGAATTCCGCAAAGTGGTCGTACGTTCGCAGCGCGCGCTTGATACCGTTGGACTCGAGGATCGCCGTGAGCGGTCCGATCATCGCGATGAAGTCGGCGCGCATGAGCCGGACGCATTTCACGAGCCCGATCGCACGCACGGTGCAGTTGCGCGGCTGGTCGTTGAGGAGGGCCGTCTCGCCAAAGTAGTCGCCTTGGTGCAAGCGCGCAATCTACCGCGCAACGATCGTTTCCACCGCTCACTTTGTGTCGATCACCTCGGACTTGGACGACGACATTAAAATCAAATTGCGCTTGGAGCCGGCGACCGTGCATCCGACGGTGCCCGACGCGACAATGTAAAAGGCGTCGCCCCGCGACCCTTGCTGCACAATGACCTCGCCGTCCTCGAACGTCACGACCTCGAGACACCGGTTCACGGACGTAACTTGGCGCGACGTGAGACCGGAGAAGAGCGGCACCTTTTGCAGCCACTCGGAGCGCTTCCCGAGCGACTCCATCGACGACTGGGCTTGGATCTAGCACACACACTTATATATATGTATATTGAAAAAGAGCCGATTGATACCGCGCGAAACTCGTTGCGGCCGAGTGTCCAGAGCTTGCAGTCCGTGGTTGCAATCACAGTTGCTGCGCGCGGTGCTACAGAACTCGATATCCTCGACTGCGATAAATGAATATCGATACCGTCGTAAATGAGCGCGAGCTCGCCAAAGTGGCCACCCGCTGTGACGTCGCCGACGTGGACGTCGTTGACGAGGCATTCGCAACTGCCCTCTTCGATGACTAGATGACACTATCTTGCTCTCTCGTCGTCGTTCTCGAGCTCACCGTAGAACTTGTCACCGTGGTCGTGTTGCCGGATGATGACGTCCCCGGCTTTGACGCTGACGCTGGTCATGACCGAGACCACCTAGCGCGCGATCGAGATGCCGGTATCGTATGCGACGTCACCGTTACCATGTCCATCTCGCCCTCCGTCGTCGCCTCGAAAAGCAGCGCCTGAATGTTCTCCTTCAAGAGTTTGCACGTCTCGGGGCTCTTCTTGGACGGACGCGGCTCGTCATTCTTCTCGCCGCGCACCGACTTGGAGTCCTACCATGATGACGCATCGGGCACCGTCGTGACGTCACGACTCGGTACGTGGCCCGGCTCGAAGATGTTGACGCGCTTCTTTCGCTGGCCGAGGCTGCTCCGCTCCGAGCCGTGCGAGACACGACGTGTCCAGACGCCGCGCTTGGCTGTTGGATCACCCCGCACGGCGTGTATTGAGCTGGCATACATCTGCCGCCACCAAGATGAGGCGCATCCTCGAACGCGACCGTACCTTTTTCATGTGCTCAAAGACCGCTTCGTCGCTCACGTGTTGCTGCACGAGACTCGCGTACTCGTACTGGAGGAACCGGAACGACTGGAGCGCGACGTCGGGCTCGTCGTCTGGCGCCACCGACGCGCCCGCGCCCATGCCTTTCTTGCCGTTAAAATGGATTGTCAAAACGACCAACTTTTTTTATAGACGGCAGTTAAGCACTCGACCGGTTTCCTGGTAGAAAGGGTGTCGCGCCGCGGATACTCTGACGTGGCGCACTCGAGACAGCGTTCGAGTGCTTGGCCATGCGCGTGCCAAACTGAATCGCTTGCTTGGGCAGCCCCGAGCAATGGCGAAGCCCCAACGCGCGCGCCAGAACACGCAGTAGTAGCTTGTCACCGACCCCCCGGGGCTGGGAAAAATCCACGACGTCCTCCAGCGGCGTCGCCGCCAAGAAGCGTACAACGTGCTCATCAAGGTACGGGAATCGGGCCTCGCGGCCGTGGTCCGAGATCATGCGGTCGTCGCGGCCGAGGTTACGCAACCAGAGGCGGTCCATGTCCAGGCGAAGCTCGGCGCGGAGGCCGTCGTAGCCATCGCGCTCAAAGGCTGCCTTATGCCGGCCGTATCCTACGCTCCTCATTGTTTGATTTTGCATTCGCTTCTTGGGACGTGAAGGCGATCGTACCAGCCAGTTGTTCGTCGGCGCCAATACCGACCAAGAGGACTTTGACCTTGGATGCGTAGGGGGCGCGGGGGGCCAAGGGGGGGGGACATGTCGGGGGGTGTCACCGGCGTGTGGTTGGCACATTGAGAGAGCCCTTGCGTGTGGGCGTGTAATGTATCGACGCTGCGGACGCCCATTGCGACAAGCGCCGCTTCAGCCGACGCGCGCTCTTGTGAATGCCGGGTCGGTGCGAGCTTGGCGGCAAGCTTGTGCAGTTTTTGACAGCACAGTTTGCAGACGTGATAGTCGCACGTCGGGTTGTGCTGGCGCTTGCACTTGGTCGCTGCGCAACGCGCATCTGTCGGCGCTGCAAACCAAACGCCGTCGTTGGCGGTAGCCGCAGGGACGTCGACGTCGGGGCGCTCGACCGCGAGGCTGCCGACACCGCGGGCCAGGAACCAAAACGCGGTCCCAATGTTGAAGTCCATGTGCGTATCACACGGCTAAGACCCTCGCGTCAATCCAAATGAACGAGGCAACTTCGATATACCTGCATACGGGCGAGCACGGCTGGCTGCGCGGCCGTGACGCTCTCACCGTCAATGTCCATCTCGACCAATCGAAAGTCGCGCGTTGGAAACAAGTGCCGCAGCTCGTTCCAGGAGGCCACCGCCGCTTTCCGGTCGGGTGACGCGTGCGCCACGTCAAAGCACACGTTGTAGAGCTCAAGGGGCTCGTGAGGCGGCAACGCATGATGAACCAGCGCCGCGAGCACGACCGAGTCGAGGCCACCAGAGAAGAGAATGCCGACGCGGGATGCGTCAGGACGGAGCAATGGAATCGTTTCAAGCCGCGTCGCCACGGCGCGATAGAGCACGCCCAGCAGCCCTTTTGCAGCGCGCCGCATCGAGGGCGACATCACATTGTCGTATTCGAGTCTGTCG